TTATTGTGTATCAAACGGATCAGAAAGGTTTTAACTAATGTAAAAAATATGGATATGTGTAAAAGTTTTCACTTTTTACAAGTTTGTAGTTGTACTCATTAAAATTTTTATGTAACAGAAATTGACTTGGTTAGTTTGAATGTTAATTATGTAACAATTTATTTTAGATAATGGAATAAAAAAACGAGAAATTAGATTTTTTTTCAAATTTGTTTTGCATTTAATCATGAACAATTTATCTTCATCACAATTTAACTTCTCAATTAGTAGTCTGCTAGTATATTTTGTTTTCTATTGTCTACATTACGCCAACGCAACGTGACGTATGTTTAATTTAAACTAATAAGTATGGAAATGGTAATTTAAATCGAAATTTAAATATACACATAACTAATTATCTACAAGCTTTATATTCAGTTTTATTGTATTCGATTTTTTTCAGTAAACTACGAGTAAATCTTGCTGAGGGAAACTAAAGTTTTTGATGTGTTACTCATGGATGAAGTAAATTTCTGTCTGTTTCTGATAATATTTAACCTAATTATATTAGTCCAATATGTGACAACGCAGGTACAATGAAATATTCATGAGGAGTAATATTTGTTAGAATTAGAACTACCATCAAAGCAAACAAACAGAACACTTCTGAAATTAGGCATAGGAGAACCCTTTGCCAATCTAATTTAAAACGACACAAGAACGCTACCGCTACTGAAATTCCAGAATCATTTAATAATTGCTTCGCTATTGTCAACCAACAATGGGAACAAGAACACATCTCGAAATGCCCGCAGTTGTCTGAGCTAAATTCTTAATGAGGAAATGACTATTAATTTGTTGTTTTTAAATGTATAGTTACCTGACATTGTATACAGTCATAAAACTAATCATTTATTACTGATACTGATTTAAATTTAAAGAATACCAAAAACATACCTACACAAATTCTAAATATTACTTTTACTTAATGTTATAAGAAATAAGAATGGTGAAAGATAATTTCGCTTTCTACTTTTTTCTTGTTTTCGAAAATAGATTTATTTTTATAAAATTGTACAATAAAGACTTGTAAAGGCGACATACTCATTTGCATTTCTTATAACATAGTACCCTTTTAAAATCCTGATATTAATTTTTAATTTTTTTTATAGCTCCTGTTTTACAAAGAACTCTTAATATATTATATTACTCTTAATATACGAGTACATAGGTATATATATTATATAAACATTATGTTTTGTTACGTCTTATAATTTATACACTTATCTACACGTATTTTTTAAGGGTAACTTATGCATAAGTAACACTTGTTTTCTCAACCGGTTCTTTGTTCGCATCATTTTCCAAGATTGATGTAACCTTGTACTAAAAAATAATAATTTATTGATAATTGCAAAAATCTCGTTAACTGCAAACAAGCTTATTGTAACCATAACATACATAAGACAAGCTTCTGGAACCATAATAATCAATAACTCTTGGTAGTGATGAGGTGTTGCTCATTATTTTGTCGTTGCAATTTTCAAGCATAATTTTGATTTTTAATTTCAAATGCCTTTATTACACTTTATTATTATTGCAGCAAAGTCAGCAATTACCTTGAGTACAGAAGGATAAAGCAAACGCCTTTATATTTTACCTGTAATTACATCAATAATTTATTTTTGATAATAATGCACATAAAGCTTAAATGAAATGTGTATGGTTTTAACCTCGGTTTTAACGTTTAGTAAAAAAAGCATATTACAAGTGACAGTATAGAAATACAAGGTGATTCACGAGGAATAATGAGCCTGACCAAATTTTCGATGCAACCACCATTACTTTTCGCAAGTTATTTTGCGACAACTGTAATGTTGGTGGCATCGAAAATTTGGTCAGAAGAATAGATTACGTTTAATCATTTTTAAACTAAATTTCAATCGTTTGAATCCATTTTTGCATAAATAAATAAAAATTATTAAAAATAATCCGTTCGTTCTCCAGTATTGCCCACTTTGACGAATATTTTTTATGTACGTAATATAAAATTTTAGCGATGCTTATTCATTTATTTCTAATAATTGCCCACTTTCAAATTCTGTGAATGTGTGTTAAATTTGTGTTTCGGTCCTCATTTTCAGGTTTACATTTTTTGCACATACTTAACTAAAAAGAGCTGTCATTTCCCTTGCGAAATGCTCTCTAAACCCGTCGTGCGACCTCACAAAGAATGGAATAAAATCCTTCACGCAAAGGTTATAAGAGAAAATTCGTCCGTTTTTTCGATAGCTTCATTGTCATTTGCCAAACATACACACTGACTGTAAATTGTAAATTCTTTCATCCTGAACGTCGGTATTCCTTAAGGACCACAGTGTGTCAGACCCGAAGGACCCAAGACGTGCTGTTACCAAGGGTAACGTAGGGTAATGAACGTGGATCCAATTCCTTAAAACTCCTGAAAAGTCACCGACTGAGATCGACTCTTGCAGAGTACTCAAGTGGAACAAAGACCAGACCAATTTTCAGTCATTGAAAGTACCATCACGCCGACTTTTTAATTGTTTTTTGAGATTATTTTTTTAAGTCCACTTGAGTAGTCTTCACGAGTCTGTTTACACTGCGGACATTAATAAAGAGAGGTTTTTAATTTGTTTCGGGGTTTTTGTCGACAGAAACGTATTAAATTGGTAAGGGACGGTAAATATTTGATCCTGGAGTTGATTTAAACTCGGCACTTACCGAAGCCTGCCAAATTTACATTTTATTAATTTCAAAAGAGAACTCATTAATTTCGCCTGAACGCATGCACTGGATACATCATTTTCATTCTAAATCGCATTCACATATCTTAATTAACCGACTCAATGACCTACTTTCAACCGACCTAACAACCCCTCATTTTATATGAAAGAGTTGAGTAGTATCAGACATCAATTCCAGGGTTGAGTAGGGTAGCGACCCTACATATTTAATGCTTTCCTAACAATTCTGCAACAAACGTAATTTAATTGTTGTGCCTGATCAGGTGTTATATGGTACCTGCCATTTTTCATTATATCGACCGAGCCTATGAAAATTACCGTCGATATTAACAAATTTATTATTTGCACAAACCCTACAGTCATTATCAGTTTATCGAAAAGTTATTATATTGTATAGATTTTCAACGCTTTATTAATGAAAGCATATTTGAATCGGGGATGTCTGACCCACATTCTCACATAGACCTTCAAGTATATGCATTTTTAAGTTAACATTTTCTTATATTTGTTAAGAATTTGTTTTTTTTATAAAAGTTAAATTTCTTTACTAATTTTGAGTCGAGAAGTGCAAATATAATATGGATTTTTCTATATTAGTTCCAGTTTTTTGAAAATCTCTTGAGGGGGAGGCAATAACTTAATTGATTAGCACACGAGTAAGCTTTTAAAATTAATAAATATAACACATATGTAACTAACTGCATATAATTTATTCATTCAAACAATAAAAAAATAAAAACAAACAGTAATTTAAATAAAATTAGGTGGGGTAATTTTAATTAGAGTGCCTTCTCGTAATGACGCTCCTGGTTTTTAAGTTAATAAATATGTAATAATTAAAATATATATTAGAAGAAAAAGAAGTAATTTGTGTAGTTACATTTTTGAAGCTGTTTAGCTTCAAAAACTTTAGCGGAACGGGGTTGGTGGTTTATAAAAACATTCTTGATTTTTAAACTTTATATTAAAACAACTTTTTTTTGACGGGTTACAAAAGGGTCTTACAAACTAAAACTTTCGTTGTCCAAGTGGACGTATGTTGCACATACATACGATGCACCCTCATCTGGAGGGGTGAATGTAGTGGGGTGCGTACCGATTGGGTACAGAAGCAAATACCACAAAATACAAATAAGTTATAAAAAAAAATAAAAAACAATAAACAGAATACAATCTAAAGCTTCTTCGTGATTTGATATAATTTTTGTTAGAGCCTCTAAGGCATTCTATGACTGCAACACCTTGATGAAATTGCTCTCTACGCTTGTAATTCACAACATCATAACTTTTTTAAAACTGAAATATTTTTTTACTAGAATTATGAGTAATTGAAATAATACATTTACTTCCCTAAACTGACTAAAATTACACTTTTTCATCAAGTCTCCAAAAAAAGAACAAAGTAAATAATTCAGAAGTGCATCATATAGCGTTATAAAGTGATAATGATAATTTTAATTTTGATGAACTTTAGTTTTTGAAAAAGATATGTTACATAGGTATATTTAATTTAATTTTTCTATTAAATGTTTTGTAATAATTTGCCTTCTTGCTTTGAAACTTTAAAACAATTGTAAAAATTTACTTTTTCTGGGTTGGTTAAATCTTTATTTATAGCAATCTGAACGTTTTTTGTTTAGTACAATAGTACGGGTGGTAAGCCTCAAAACATTTTAAAATGCAACCCAAAAGTGATGAATTTTTAGGAAATAGTGTTTATTTTGTCGAGTTCTATTGTGGTTTTAAATACAAAATCGATACACCATGCATTACAAAGCTATGTATTTGTTTAGCTTTAATTATTCACGTAACTTTTTCACTGATTATGTCGCTAACTATGTAATTTCATTCTCCCCTTTTACATAACATTTTACTTTACCATTCCTGATAATTATTTCGTCGATTGATACTAAGAATTTTATAGAGGGACGTTACATCTATTCAACCACAGAAAGCAGGCTTCAGTTTGTATTATTTATGTAATCGGTGGGGCAAACAAATGGGTCTAATTGGGCACGGGCAATGCGGACAAGCCAACTTACTTGTGGGCGGTTCAAAGACCCCATTTATGCACGTGATTTAACTCATCCTCTAGCAACAATATAAACCTTTATCATTGTTCCAATCAGCTTCATGAGATATTAATTTCTGCTATTGAGACAAATTAACTACGGTTTAACAATGTTTAAAGTTTTTTATTTGTTGGTGAGTATTTCTTTAGCATAATTTTTAAAATGTTTTGTTTTGTTGTAGAAGCCTATTCCCTGAGCGAATCCATCACATCTTTTAATGGTGAGTAACGAACTCTTCCTTATTAGCAGTTACGTATGAGAGTGCTTACATTTACACGTAGCTATTAATCAATCCGAGATCATCCATCTATCCAAATATCAAATCCAAAGTTGTTCAGTGTGAGTTTTGCTTAGCGTGCTTTGATACATTCGCTTTGATGTTTAAAGTATTAGTTTTTGAGTAAATTGGAGAGAATCCGTATCGACAAAAAGTCGACCTGTTTAGGGGAGGTATACATGGAAATATGGAAATTATTAACAAGAGGATGATAGAAACGTGAAACAATGAAGGGCCAGTCCTTGATACTGTGTCTTAGTAAACTATGTTTGCTCAGGCCTGCTGGCTTAGCATATGCTTCGGTTTAATGAGCCCTTACCATTGTCATGTTAACTAGCAGACGGTAGAAGCTCCTTGCCAGTCTTATTTGTGATTGATTGTTTGCAGTATCGATTACGGAATTATCCCTTCAAGCATTGGACTTAGATGTTAAGTTAGTTGGGACAAGTAGTCGTCATTCACGAATACCTATTCTGATTTTGAAAGATAACTCACCTTCATTTATTCTAACGTTTTAATGTTATCGTCTCTGCGTTACAATGACATTAGCAATATATATACATACTCATGTAACAAATTATTGTCTGTAAAACAATGTAAAAGTGATACTTTTAAAAACTAGTGCGTATAAAAGTCATATTTCTCACAGGAAGAGGAGCTTTTATTGCACACTATCCAGATTGTTCTAAACCTTTTTAGCAACCAGTATTCATATCAGATTTGGGATTAATAGGCTTAACCGACTAAAACTCTTACTAACTTGGCACTTATCTGGTAAATTAGATGCTGTTCGTTGCTATGCAACAAGTTATAGTCACTTAATCAATAGATTTCAGATTATTATGATTAGATATTATCGTCAATAAACTAAACAACAGTAAATGCTCAAGTATTGGAACTTTGTCAGATACACAACACCTTTCAAAACGTACTACGATACAGTGTTTTAAATTTAATAAAAACTATTATTTTTTTAATTTTAATATACTTATTACATTTTGTATTATTATATTTTCAGAATACTTGGCAATCGTCATTTTACGTCGTCAAGTTAAAAAATTTGGTGAATCCTGACAAATCTGTAATTCATTCTTAAGAAATAGTTTTCAAAATACACCTCGTGCATGCCAAATTAATCCTAATTTAAATTAAAGTATGGACAATTTGCACTCGGAATATTATTATTGATAAAAAAATCTCCCTAGTGTCGGTCCTGAATGCAGCACCTAACTAATAACACACGAGACGCCACTGCTACGATACTATTTTCAGTAATGAATATAAAAATAATAATGTTTACAATTTTTTACTCATCACTCGCAAAGGAACGCTTGCTAAAACACAAGCATCTAGAACCTTGCATAAACAGCTAATTTTATTTGCTAATAACTTTTATTTTCAAATTGTTAACAGCAAACAAACAAATAACGTTTGCATATAATTTAGCTTTATTTAACTGCTCTCGAAATGCCTTTAGACTGTTTTATAACATAATAAAACTTTAAGGTTTACAATCGCCATTGCACTAAAGTAAATTTCGGATTCTTCATAGCACAAGAATTCTTCTTGCAGCATGAGAAATTAAAGATCATTGACATGTTAATGTGTAATTAATGTATTTTTAGTTTTGGCATTAAATTTAATTATGCCACGTTATGAGTTTTCTGTTTTTTAATCACAACTTTACTTCCGGCGATGAGTAAAAGTTGACGATTTTCTGATAATTTTGTATAAAATTATATATGTATTAGGTAAAATATTCATACATAAATATATATACTGGGACAGTTTTATATTAGTATACATAGCCCTATGTATACAGTTAAAAAAACCGGGTCAAAAGCGGGGTTGGTCGCCTACCCTATAAAATTGACCCTGTTTTTTTAACTATACATATACATAGGGCTATGTATACTAATAAAAAAAATGACCCGGTATGTATGTTATATTAGTTTTGGAAGGGCCACTTTTGGTTTTCGAAAGTTTAAAAATTTTAAAATGTTTATAAAATTGTACTTTTAAAACTATTTAAAGTATTTTTGTCTCAAATTTTCTTCCAAACTGACAGCTATATATCTCTCAAAGTCGATTATTTACCAACTGTTTCTTAATGTTTCAGTGCTTATGAGATTTGATAAGTTGCTGTTATCTTATTTCAAAAAGCACACATTTAAATTACAAAAAATTGGTCTTTAAAATTCACATAAACACTAGGAATAACAATTTTTATATTCTTGTTAAATAAGAAAGAGACAATTTACTTACAAAAAAGACATCATGTATAATTCAAAAATTTTGTTTAAGAAAAAGAAGAATAATATATTTTTGTTTGGTTTTTAATTGTTATTTTGTTTTTTTTTTGTTTTTTAAATGTCACGTTTACATGGATTCACTTCGAATTCCAAGTTTTCGACAAGATATTGTAAAACAATTTTCTTGTCGACATTGAAAAGTATAAATTAGGTATAAAAAAAGTATAAAGTGTAAAATCATGATGTAATTGGAACTGATCGCTAAGCTTGTACAGTGACGCGGTAAAAGAGCATGCTATCTATGCATGTTATTCTTGCAAGTTACTTTAACGTTGGCGCCGCGTCTTTATCTCGTCAGGAAAATACCTTGAGCCATTCCCGAACTGGAGATCCCATTTCACATTGATTAAAACATAAAGCCTTGTTGAAAATTAAATTACACGAAGTAACGAGATGTTCTTAGAAGCCCTCCGCTGCACGCAGGCAGCGCCTTATACTTCAACAAACTCATATATTGCATGGCTAAAAGGGTATCTGCACCAAATCGCTTCGAAGGATCAACGTGGCTTATATTATTACGGAATATTTAATTTGATGCTTCCAGATTACTGCACTATGGACTTTGTCGAAGAATTCTCTCTCCAATAATTAATATTTTAATTACAAAACGATCTCCTTTGGGAATTAGAGAATTTGTTCGAAACCAGAACAGATGAACACTGAATAATAGTAGGTGTAAAATTTAATTTCCGCATTTTAGAACAAACTCACTAGTCTGTTTCAATACATCTTTTAGCTCCTAATACAGAAGCTAATAATGACCTCAATAAATCACGCAAATCTCAAAAATTAAAAAAACGTTCTAAATTGAATTGTAATTATTGATTGCATGTTGCAACAATCCCCAAAGCTTACAAATCAATTCGAAAATTTAATAAATGGAATATTAAATAACATTCAACTATATTCAATAATGGCGGTTCGACAGATAGAACTATTTTGCATACGTGACCCTCTAGCAATTGTCATAAGTTGACCCTATATAAATGGAGTGTCCGTAAATTTCATTCAACTAAATTATTAAATCAGACTAAACTTCAAATTGTACACGGCAAATTGGTTCATTTTGACCACTGTTTAGTAAAAGCACTTAGCAGGAAGTAAGGCAAAGTTTCTAAAGCACTCCGCTTACAAGTTCTCCACTCAAATAGCATACATGCTAAAAGATAATTATTGTTATAACACAAAGAGCCATGAGAGTCCTCTGATTTTATCCAATTTGTTACCATCTACTCAAACTTTACCATCTCAAAATAAATCAATTTATGTATGTCAATAACTCCTCAAAAGACCTGCTTGATTTGATATTATTTTGATACAGTTAGATAATGATGTGTCGGAAGATTAATGACGTAATCTGTGATCCTCAGATGTTATTGAATTTATCGTGACTAGCCCTTTTTACAAGTTGAAGGAAAGCTTAATGCATGTGTGGACTGTTACCGGTCAATATCTTTATTAATAAAAAACAAAAATTCCAAAATTTTCTACATTCTAACTCTATACATTTCTTCCCTTAAAGAAAATTACTAAAGTACTAATGCTAATATGAACAGAATATATATAACAAAAACAATACGTAAAGTGGACATTAGTTGCTGTTTTTAGAGATTTTTTTACGGAAGCTGGACAAGATTAATTTTTGAGCACTTATTTTCAAAAAGTGTATTTTATGTTATAATAATTTTAGAATAATTTATAATTAATAAGCAAAATACTAATGAGAATACGCTCTGCCATTAAAAAAATCTCTTTGAAAAATTAAAATTTTACTTTTCGTGTCTTTGTTTTTGCAAACTTATCTTTAAGATTTAATTTTTTGTCAATTTTATTTGGTGCTTAGGATTGCCAAACTAAAAAAATTGTTCTGAACTATGTTTGATCTTAAATAAATTTTAGTAATTTTTAATTTAGCAAAACTGCGTTCACAACTCGCAGAAATGGTTAGTAAATTAAATATAATTGCAATGTTATTTGAATATTGGGAAAAACATCTGTAAGATTAAAGTGAATAATTTGCTTTAGTAAATTTCTTGGATCTATTTTACTAATTTTTCCAAATAATGCCGCAGGTTGTTGTTTAAACGAAGAAATTTCGATACAAAATTCAACTACATTTATATCCTGTTTGTACTTGTGCAAAATTCGTAGCATGCTTTATTAGTTTTTTCATTTGGAATAAGAGTATTGAGAGCAATAAGTGAATCATTTAAGATGCAAAAATTGTTATTTAACTCTTCTACAGATAGCAGCTTTGTTGTAAAATCGGAAATAATACGTTTCAAAACAATATTTATATGTTGAACTAAAACTTCTGCACTAAATGTTCAAATATCATCAGCATGCTATCATTGGATTGCTAGTTCCAAGCCTAAAAAATTGAAAATATTTTGGAATATCATTTGGAGCTTCAGTAGGTGCCCAGGGCTTCTAGGTGGAATAGCACATCTGTATTTACTTTGAGATTCGTCAAACTCTCGTTTATAAGTTGCAAAACACTGCATGCATCAGGAGATTCCTAACACTAAGTACAGAGTTTCATAGTTAGGAGTAGTGTAAGTACTATATTATATAAGTATTATAACTACTTGCATTTCTTGTTATAGACAGGTAAAAAAAACTCAAGAATTT